CATGCACTTCATTCAAATACCACCCGCTTACACAGCTAGGGACTCACACTGATGTTTGTTGTTGTTAATGGAGGCACTGGGAATTGAACCCAGCACCTGGTTCATGCTAAGTACACACTCTACCACTGAGCTACACCCCACCCATCCCCTCAAACTGATTTTTTAAAACTGATTCTTATAAAGCCATTCCAGTGGCAGGTTCAGAGGCTCATACTGTCACTGAGCTTCCCAGGTCACACAGTCACTCAGGAACATAGCCACCCGGTGCTGTCAGAGTCAGAGGAGACCATGTGAATACCCGGCTCAGTCCTCGACCAATCACCATCCACTGGACACAGGGATCGAAGCAACCTTGAGGCCCCCGTGTTCCACTTCTAAAGCTTTCTAACTGCTAGAAATGGGTCCTTAAATCAATACATCCAACCAACATGTCCAGCAACTGTGCCAGGGCTAGAAGATGCAACGATGACTAAGACATGTCTTTCAGCATAAAACCCCAGAGCCTGGCACATAACAGGTACTCAGTGAATAGCCGAGAATGGCTGGAGGCGTGGCTGAGTGAGCAAGCTCACTGTCTGGGGCCGTGCTGTCTAAGAGTACAATGCAAGCCACAAGTGGGGGGCGCACACACAGTTTTAAACTTTCCAGTAGGAACGCTTAAAAAGGTTAAAAGGAACAGATGAAATGAATTTTAATATATTTAGAGTAACCTAACAGAAAAGATTTTCATTTCCAGATGCAGTGAGTATGAAGGCATTATTAATGAAATGCTGTACCTTTTCTTGTACTGTCTTCAAAATCTGGTATGTATTTTATGTTTAAAGTATATTTCACTTCAGGCTAGCACATTTCAAGAGGTCACTAGCCCCGTGTAAGTAATGGCAACCTGGGGGTGGGGGCACAAAGGGATAGGATATTTCCATTGTGGCAGAAGGTTCTGTTTGTAAAGTTCCTCCCAAGAGAGGAAGGAAGTGCACGGTGGGAGGAAGAGTGCTGAGGGCAGGCAGCAAGGCCAGGGAGGCAGAGATGGGCAGACTAGGGAAGGCTCCTTTGCTCATTTGAAGAGTGTAAACTTTATCCCACAGACAGAAGGGAGTCAGGGTGAAACAATTAAAAAAAAAAATCAGTGGTAATCAGTGGTTTAAAAACACAGATTCAGAGGCTAGAATCAATCTATGACAAACACTCTTCCATCCAAGATAAAATATTCAAAACAAGGGAAATGCAGTATGTTTTTCAATAAAGCTGAATTTAGTCAATACAAATAAATGGACATTTACTTTAAGATTATACACTTTGGGGGCATTTAAAGGTGCTTTTACGAGATGGTGATCACCACAGATTGTCACTGTGCTTTAAAATCATCCTTACTGGGAAAATTTTAAAATTTGCAACACTCAGTTCTCTGAAAATTCTATTTCTAAACTTCTGTTTGCAAGTAAAATTCAAAATTCTGGAACCACCTGTTTTGAACACTTCCTGGATTTTATTAAGACAGACGTAAGGGCCAACATGCGTACATTCTTCTTTATTCTGATTTTCTTATCTTACATACACACGTCCATGTGGTAATGATTCCTACACGACTTCTACCTGAAAGTGTTATACAGTAATTCAGCATGTGAAGTGTCTTCCTGTCATTTAGTCATTCCCATGACGTATTGTGTTGAATCTATTACTTTACTGGTACGAATAGCTTTATTCAAATTAACTTTCCTCCTCTACCCCCAATTACATGGATTATTTCCTCAGACTATAGTTCCCAACAGGGAACTGATGGGTCAGTGGCAACGAGTAGCTCTGTTTTGTGCTTAGTTCTTCTTTTCTATCACCAGACTGTAGCAGAGAGACAACAGGCAGCCGATTATTTCTTAACGCCGTAACCTGTAATGGGCTCTGATAACTTCTGGTGATCTGGAAATAAAGCAGTCTTAATTTCCACCCTGTGGGCTGCTGATGAAGATCCACCTGTTCTTTACAGTGACATCGCAATGCCCATTCTCTATACTCATGTCTCCTCGCAACTTCCAGAGAGAACTCTGGGTACTGACCTTGGGATCTCAATTCTTTCTATGTTGGATGATAACCATTTAATCTTTTAAACTGTCCCATTATCTTCACCCATGCTGTGGCATTCCATTTAATATTTATTCCCCTGCCTGTGGCTGGGCTATTTTTCTTTTACTCTTCAGATATTCAGGCACATGTGTCTTGTGTATGATGATTTTCTCTGCTGCTTCAGGGGCCATAAGTTTATCTTCTCTGTACAGTTGGGTTAAAAATGCTATTCCATTTTCTTCCAGTTATTTTTATAAATAAACTAGAATGGAATCCAAAAGCTGAGGCCTTTCTACTTGGAGATTAATAGACTTTTAAAACTGCAGAACTTTCTGGCATGAGTGAAATTTCCTCAGTCCCAAGGCAGACCTGTCCACATTACGAAACAGCCACCAGTCTCTCCAATCAGGAGAGATGACAAGCAGGCTACCTGAGAATCAAAACTCTTTTTCTTTAAAAAAATTTTTTTTCTTTTTTCTTGAAATGTAGTTGATTTACAATGTTAGTTTCAGGGGTACAGCAAAGTGAGAGAATCAAAACTTTCTACTCTTCCTTCAAGGTGTCCAGCTCCCTGCAATTCTTGACTGCCCATGTTTATACATACGTCTCAACAAGCTCGCTTAAAATTAATTTTCAGCAAGAAAGGTCATCACAGCCAAAGGCAGTCACCTGAAGAGATACCTGCTTGCTGCCCAGGAGTACAAAAACCAAACCAAAACAGCTATGAATGCGTGTCGCCTGATTATTTTTCATATAATGAAATTCCATGGGAAGCTTCGATCATTTCCCACCAGAGATGGAAAATGAAGAGAAATTAATACAATAAGGAAAAAGGCAACACATATATAACTGTTTACAAAGTTTCGATTACACTACACAATTTTTACATATCTATATATGTCACTCATATAGCAGAAAAGAAACTCATGGAAAGGTGAACAGTGGTTATGTGAAGGAAGGTAGGATTATGGGTTATTCTCATCTTCTTTAGACTACTTTTGCAGTATCTACTTGCATTAATATACTTCATACAAGTAAACAGTTTTATCTTCACATTCCTGATTCAATCCTCCTAAAAACTTGGATTTTTTTAAATGGACAGAGGGTGGAAAATGGCTCTGTGGTAAAGTGCATCCTTAGCATGCATGAGGTCCTAGGCTCAATCCCTAGTACCCCCACTGAAACAAATAATAATAACACACAGCCGAATGATGTCAAAAGGGAGGAATAAAAGATTTTGGCATTTTACTGAATCAAATGCTCCTAAAAATCAAGCCAAGTACCTCAACTGTAATTTCAGCCACTCCTCACTAAACACAAGAACCACCCCTCTCCCCCAACACTGCCTTTTCTTCCATATGTACCAGGGCTCCAAACAACACTTGTAACAGTAAGTATTCTTATGAACTTGCTTTTTTTTTAAAGGTCAAAGTCTCTAAAGTACTTGCAGAAAATATCTGCAATGAGGTTTCCATGAAAGCGACATGACAGTATTGTGGTTATGCTGTTTTTTCCCCCTAAATAGATAAAGACTTTTTAAAGTCCTTATCTATTAAATACTGAGACATTTACTGGCAATGATAAAATATTTAAGATTTCCTTAAAATACTCCAGCCCCCCCCTCCACAAAAATGATGGGGAAAAATAGATGAAATAAGAACAGAAGGTTGGCATTATTTAAGGTGGGTGATGGACACAATTATTCTATTCTACTGTATACATTCAAAGTTTTTCCATGATGCAGGTGTTTGAAAAGGTGCTAATGACAAGGTAAAAGCTGCATATCCATGAGCACGACAATCATCCCTCATATCATCCAGTGTAGCAACAGTAAACTCAGAGCCAAACACTTTTTTCACATCACAGTGACTATTTCCAAGGGAGCATCTGACTGTATCTTTTCTTTATCAGGCAATGAAGAGAAGACACGTGTGTAAACCTAGTCCAAAACGTCTTTCATATGCATCTACAGATTTCAGTCAGAAGAGTTCAGATGTTCTGTCTTGGGTCAGTATTAGAACAAGATAAGCCAGCTGACACAGCAGCTACAAACTAAAGTAAGATGCGTGCTGATCCCAGCATCCTATTCAAGGAGCCCCGTTCTCCTGCCTGACACAGAGGGCTGGCTCTGCTACTTTCCGAGAGGACACCCAGAGAAAAAGTCTCAGCACTCATCAGAAGTTAGAAAACCAAGACCATTTACTTTATGCGGTCTGTTCTCCGTAACAGTCACAAAGGGTGAGATCAATACTAAGGACCCGGGATCCCCAAACCGATGACTTCCCAGCGAGTCCAAAGTAAAGACAAAACATCACCCCTCGCCGTTCCAAAGGTGCTCACCGCTGAAGGGTTTTCCCAGGCATCCTCACAAGTGACCTCTTGTCTCCCTGAGGGGCTGGGTAAGACTCTTGTTCTATTTCACAGATGCAGGAACTCAGGTTCAAAGCTTTAAGACCACAGTCTTCTGCCCCTGAAGGCAGCGTTGTTTTTTTCCCACTGTCCTACACCACCTGGGAGTGCGTCTGTGATGGTAAAAGGGAGTAAGCGCTTCACAGAGTGAAGCAGAAGAGGCAAAACCAGCTTTAGGTCCACTGCTTCCTGAGTCTGCAAACGCCCTCAGCTATTGCCTCATTGCCGACTTTCTGTCGTCTCCTCTTGCTGAGCATGGAGACACCTCAATGGACTGCCCTTCTGTCTCCCTCCGCCTTCCTATGGGCGGTGCATCCTCTGCCTCCTGAGCTCTGGCAGAGGCCTCGTAACAACTCACTTGACCTAAGACACAGAAATAATTACTGTTTGAAAGCCAAGTAGGGACTGTCATGCTGTATCTGGGAGGTTTGCTTCCAGTCCTCTCTCTCCGCCAGCCTAGCTGGTACACAAGGAGAGAAGCCTGCACCCTCACCGCCCATGGACCGCTCGACCCAGTGGGGAACAAGGCCTACCTCTCTGACTTCGTGAAGCTGGCCGGAGTACTGACTCTTAGTTCGTCGGGCGGCCGCAGGAGACTTGTGATGCGTGATGGTGATGACACCGGGGGCTCCCGCGCCGAGGTGTCGCTGGCTACAGGGAGACGCAGAAGTTGGTGTCCCGTGGGGAAGCAAAGTGAGACTTCGGCTCCGGGCGCTCGGAGGAGTCTAGAACAAGCAACAGGTGTCAAAAGTCAACCACTGGCCTGCAGAGCACAACCAAGTGTTGGCTTCCATTTATTTCCCACCGCTTGGTCTTTACCCTCCGTCTTTAGAGGGATGCTGGCTTGGGGAGGTACGACAGTATTCCATGCCCAAATCCCACCCTCGCTCACTCCAGAGAGACTATCTCCAGTACCCCCACTTCTGGTCTCCTCGCCAGCAGTGTCTCCTGCCCCACACCACGGCTGTGAAGAGCTACTCCGAGGCCCCCAAAACCACGAGCTCCCGGGGGTCGGTGCTGCTCTTCCTAACTGCCTCCTCCTCCCTCTGGCAAACTCAGAGCTCAGTGCTCTGTGTTGTGGAAAGCAGCTGGTCTGCCTGAGCCTCTCTACACTCTTATTCTCCTGCATCAAGGTTACATTCATTGTCCAGCTAAACTTTCAGAGATTTTTTCCAATTCATCTTTATATCCCCAAGACTTGTCACATAATGACTGTTTAACGTATTAAGTACCTACTAAATTATTTGCTGCATGAGCAAATGAAAGTACTAAGTTATCCACCCATGAATCCCCACTGGTTAGTGCAGGGCTACTATTTCATCGTGTTGTGACATATCATCCAAATAACAACTGAGTCTATGATAAGGAGGGACCTCAACTTAGAGGAGATGAATTTTTCAATAACTAGTGTTGGAATAACTGGGCAGCCATCGGAGAAACAAAGTTGGATTTATCTCTCAGGTCACAGGCCCCACATGGATCAAAGACTAGGAAAAAACAAAAGAAAATGCACTAGAAGAAAACATATAGCCTTGGGGTAGAAAAGGTCTAACACCTGGAAATCCAAAAGCCATAAAATAAAAGCTCAGACAATTTGATTACCTAAACACTGAAAACTTCTGCACAGGAAACAAATTCTAAAAACCCACTCCTGCCACCAACAAAGCCAAATGATAAATTATGGAAAATATTTTCAATAGTTTCACAGAAAAAAAGGCTCATCATTCTAATTTATAAGTAGGAATATAATTCCTAGGAATTGATGAGAACAGCAAACTATTAAAACAGCAAAAGATATGAACTAACAGTTTACACACAAAAATAAACATAAGTGACCCTTAAACCATATGAAAACGTCCAATTGTACTCATGAGATAAATGTAAATTCAAACCACATTTAGATACCACCTTTTTTCACCCATCAGCAAAAATCCAGAAGTATGAGTACAGAGTCAGCTGACAGGACTATAGAGAGATGGGTTGTGGGAGGGACGAGTAAGGTGGCAAAAACCCTGAGGAGGGCAACCTGGTAGTACCTGTCGCAGTCACAAATGCACCCACCTGTGACCCAGCAATGCTCTGTTGGGGAACGTGTCCTTCAATGCACCTGCACCCAGGTGAAATGGCGTAGGTACCCATCAGTCACCACAGCAGCATGCTGAATGGCAAAGGATGGGAAATCACCCAAACATTCATCAACACGGGACAGGTTAAGTAAGACACCGCACCACTACATGGTGGGATGCTATCAGGATGTAAGAATAATGAGAAAGGTCTCCAGGGATTGGTCTGGGAAAAAAAAATCTCTATACCATACAGTTAAGTGAAAAAAGTAAGGCTTAGTATAACTGCTATACAGCATGCAAAGTTCTGTGTCGAAGGTGGAAAATGAGTATTTTTATAATTTGTTTAAAATTATCAGTTAAAAAAATACTCTAGAAGGATACTCTAGAAACCTAACGTAGTACTTCTTCATGGAGAAGCCAGGAATGAGACAGTAAGAACAGGGAAGGAGGAGATTTTTCACTGCGTAGTTTTTAATCTTCTTTTATTTTAAGCCATGTAAATGGATTCTCTATCCAAATTTTTCTAAATTCTACATAAGTCTGCATTCTAAATGTTTCTATACTTCATGTCAGCTTGAGAAAAGGCAGTTAGATGGTATGTCAGATTCATGCCAGCTTCTGTATTTCAGTCATCAAATATGCACTGAATACCTAGTAGGCACCAGGGAAAAGGTCTCATTTTGTGAAGTCAAGGAGAAATGGGAGATGTATGAGATCGTCTTTCATCAAAGATGCATGAGGATATAAGAGCACAGACGGAGAGACAGCAGAACAGAGACAGAAAGACAGACAGACACACACACACAGCAAGGAAGTGCATGACAAGGTGCAAAGCTGGCAGTTCAGCCAGAAAACGCCAAAGTGCAGAAGAGAAAGCCCAAGGCATGCTGACTTCATCACAGGAGACTGTTCTGAGGGCAAAGGACATGAAGTCTGAGTAGAATCTGAGGGGACAGAGACTGGGATGGGGTACAAATCAGCCCAGACAGGACGCTCAAAGCAGTCTTAGCCTCCAGCCTTGGGCAACAGTCACAGCTCTAAAAAGTATTAAATGTGAATGACATGCAATTTTACCAATCTCCAAGGGGCTGGGGAGCAGGGTGGGAGCCAGGGTAGAAATCAGAGTTTTGCATTACCTTGCAATAATACCATGGTAGCTTGTAAAGTTCTCTGGATTTGAATTTGGACAGAATCAGTAGGAATACAGATGAAGTCAGGAGCCAGTGTATTGCTTGTAAACAACCTCATATGTAGGTAAGCGGAAAAATCTATGGTCTAAGAATTACGTAACCTTGATCATAATGAAATACAATAATCATCTATTTTCAGCTTTAATCTTCTCACTTGGAGTGAAGAGGAGAAAAGAAGCTTGTCTTTAATACTTAAAAGAGGCAAATTTGTCTGAGCATTAGAGTCTACTGAAATGCATTTGACGGTTTGGGAGGCTTATTCCAACTCAAGAAAAAGCAGATTTTTCACTGGGCTTTGAAGCCAGACAGCCAGGTTCCTCCAACTCCCAGCTCTACCAGATTCTAGCTGTGTGACCTCACGTGAGTTATTTAAGCTTTCTTATTAAGCATCAATTTCCTAATCTTTAAAAAAGGAATAATAATGCTGACCCTTAAAAGCCATCATGAGGATTAAATTAGATCATGCCCATAAAATGCTCAGCACAGTGCCTGCCCTGCAAGAGCTGCGCGGCCAAAGTTTGTTTCTTTCCTTCCACCACTTAAAACTCAATCGATGAAGGCCTTACTGATTTTTAAAATGTTAAGAAGTGGTTTAACACAAAATTATAAGCAGTCACTGACCAGGTCCTTATTTTCTACAGGATCAAAGTCTATGATGAAGCCCAGGAACATAATTACTTATTGGAGAACCTGTATGGTCAGCAGTGAAATCGCACTGACTGTGAGGGAACAGCACTTCCAAGCTGAACTGAATGAGAACCCACCAGAAGTCAGGAAGGAAGACCTGCTATGACAACCAGCACCTTTGTCTGCAGGAGTATCACTGTAAACAGCAACAAACCAGGAACATCACCTCGGAGCCAGATAATTCTGCGGTGGAGGCCCAACCCCTGATCGTTACTTAATGGCTGTCACAGGAATTCCCAAGCAGTAAAAATGAGTCGAAAACCTTTAATTTCCCACTGACTGCATGTTTCTCATGGTTTAATTCACATCCATGCCTCTTCTTCGGGTAAATGAGCAAAGAAGAGTCTCCTTCCTGGTAAACCCTATAGGTCATCAGGCACTGAGACAGAGGCAGAAGAGTCAACAAACTGCAACCACTACAAATGAGCGGGCTCTTTCCAAAAGGCAGCCTGTCTAGAATTTCCAGGTTATGTTTAAAAATTGTGCTTAGATGGCATACACACTCCTTCTTGCTACTAATTTAACATAAAATATTATCAGAGTTTGAGGAACAACATGTCACGTTTTTGCTCCAAATAGTGAATTCAACGGGGTGACTGGAAATGCCGAGCGTGCCATCTGTGGAAAATTCTGAGGCAAACGGGTAACTGCTCCTGTGCAGGAGTGAGATTCACCCTTTCTCTAGGAGAGTCACCCTCTGTGTCCCCAACCTCAGCGAGCAGGACTAAGGAAATAGGGTGCCTGCCTGACAAATGAAGTGATGCCAACGAAGGGAACAGGTGGCAAGTAAGACACAGAGTGGAAGCTCAGGCATCCCACATGCAAACAGGCTTCATGATAATCACCAGCCTCTGGTCTTTCCCTACTTTCTTCATTGGATCCCTAAATTTCCCAGGGTTTCGAGGAAAGCACATACTCTTTGTACGTACTGGCCAAAACTGGCAAGAAAGAAAGGCGTGATGGGAAAGGGAGAAGAAGCACTAGAAAGATTATTTCCGGCCAGGGGAAGCAAGCAGTGAGCCAGAGAGAGTCTAGTTTGGGAAGCTTAGAGCAGAAACTACCTAGAGGCTTCCCTGTGTTCCCTAGAGGCTGTGGCCACGAGGATCATACCCCTACCCATTCCTTGAATAGAAACCAATTGCTCTTATCTAAGTTTTAGGAGGAACGAACAAAGTAAAACAAACAAACAAAAAAAAGAACTGGTTAGAACCAATGAGGCCCAAGATGGCAGAGGATTTGCCTTCCAGTAGACTGAGCCTCATTATAATTTCATTGAGCACATTAGCTGTTAAATGACACACCCACCAGCTCCATAACAGTTGACAGTTGCCATGACAACAACTGGAGAAGCCCATGCAAGAACTGAAAATGAGGGCTGCATCAGTTCCGGGTCCAAACCATACCCCTGTTCTTAGATAAATCATGAATACTCCTCTCACTCTTTCCAATTCCCTCCCTTTTACCTCGATCCTCATATATTTAGTGCCTCGACCTGAACTGGGTTGAGAAGTTTACTTGTGAACTAGGTTCCCACTTCTCTGTTCTTTGGCCATTGAGTAAAGCTTGTGCTGTTCCAGTCTCAGCACTTGGTTTCATCAATGGCTGTGCAAAATCTGAGCAGAAAAAGAACCTCCCCAGCTAGGACCTGACCAATTTAGTAACTGCACTGTCCTACTGTCCAGGAGAGCAGCAAGAGGATCTAGCCCTACAAGATGGTGCTGGGGAGTGATGAAGACCACAGTTTCTCTAGTCAATGGCCTGGGTTGAAATCCACACTCTACC